GACTAAATTAGTCAGCACCAAGCCGGCGAAACTCTCGTAGGTAAGACAGCAGTCGTAGTATGGAGTATAGTAAGCCAGGAAAAACCCTAAAGATTCCCGCACGTGCGGAAACCACACACAAACGATGCGCCACAGCCTCTCTTATTAACTTAGTGGAACTGGGAAGAGAAGTGTGGTTGCAGAAGTTGACTCCTCTCGCTGTAGCGTCGCTGCCTCTGGAGTGCATCATGGAGCTTTTATAACCAACGGCCACCGGCCACCGGCCACCGTTTAGTCTGGAGTAGAGATTTTATTACAAACGAGGTAGATTCATTCTATACCTCATCGGTTCGAAATCATTGTAGGGCTACTATTAAAATTGCATTTCGAGGTCTCTTTCTGCTATAATCTACGAAAAAAAACTTGTATGAATCTTGTTCTTTAGCTGTTTCTCTGTTGCATTCGTGTTTCTATTTGTTAGGTTGTCTCGTTGTTCAATTTGTCGACTTTTCTGGGTTTTAGATCAAGAGAGGAAAATGAGTATTGGGCACTTATATGTTGTGAATGTAAGAAACGAGGTTGTCTATAGGTATATATGGAATCAAGATCAGATAGTTAGTAGTTTAAAGTTTAGGAGCTTTGTAGACAATGGTAAAAGATTGGTCTTTGCAAAAAAGAAGCAGAGACTTGTAGTCATGAGCTTGTCTCAGCCACAAGGGTCAGGGCAGCAATCAGCTGTGACAACCACTGGAGTCGCAAAAGAGGCTGGTAATACTGTTGGGGGTAGTATTGTTGGGGAGGATGTTAGGGTTTTGGAGACTGAATTTGAAGCAGAAATTGATAACAATGGTGGTGATGGTGGAAATGGGAAAGCTAATAATGGTGGAAATGGGAAAGCTAATAATGGTGGAAGAGGTGGTGGAGATGGTAGTGGGGATGATGAAGGGGACGATCAGGATGAAAAGGAGTTTGGCCCAATTTTGAAATTCGAGGAGGTGATGAAGGAGATAGAGGCTCGAGGGGCTAGTCTTCCCTCAGATATGTTAGAGGCTGCCAAGAGTGTAGGAATTCGGAAAGTTCTTCTCCTCAGATATCTGGACTTGCAGGTACAGTTATCTAAACTTTTTTTTTTTTTTTTTTTTTTTTTAGTTTTGTTGTATTTTTTATTTTGCCTTCTTTGATGTTATTGATTATTAAAGTTGAGTAGCAGTTGAATCTGTCTTACTCTGCTGATGTTTTGGTTGGTGTTTTTTAATGCTGATGTTGAAGGGGTCAAGCTGGCTTCTAGGTTTTGCAATGAGGTCATGGGCAATGCTACGCAACCGGATGTTGGCTGATCCATCTTTTCTTTTTAAAATTGGAACAGAGGTTTGTTTGACTTGGTTTTGTTTTAATTCTTACTTGCATTATTTATCAAACTAAATTGCAAATGACTCTTGCATCAATATAGTGCTGTAACTCACATGCCCACATGATCGCTTGCAAATTAACTGTTCATGAAGTATAAATAGGTTGGATTAATAAAATACTGAGCTCCCTTCATGACTATGGTATAAAAGTAGTTCACAAGGTTTTTACATCCCAGAGAGGCAGCTAGCATTTCCTTCTCACATCTTTTGACATTGACAGATCCTTTGATATGCCTTTTGCATGCCCAAATTTCATATACTTGAGTTACAATCTTTTCCTTATCATGATGCAGATTGTCATTGATTCTTGCTGTGCTACCTTTGCGGAAGTTCAAAAGAGAGGAAAGGACTTCTGGGCAGAATTTGAGTTGTATGTTGCTGATCTTTTGGTCGGGGTGGTTGTCAATATTGCTTTGGTTGGCATGCTGGCACCATATGTTCGCTTTGGGCAACCATCTGCATCTAAAGGATTCCTTGGAAGAATGCAACATGCTTATGCTGCTCTGCCAAGCAGGTAACAGATGACACTTAAGAAAAGTTTTCTTAATACAGATAAATACCAATGTGGTTATGTTGCAGCTTAGTAGCAGTTTAATAAAAGTAGTGCATCATGTCCCTCAAGACAAACTGTAATAAACTATTTATTAAATTTCTAGTTCTTGTATGATACAGTGTATTTGAAGCAGAAAGGCCAGGCTGTAGATATTCTGTGGGACAAAGAATTGCCACGTACTTTTACAAGGTAAGACTCACATGTATCTGAATTGAATTTATAGTATCTTGCTGGATGGGTTTTTTTATTAATTATGTATAAATTCTGTCTAATTTCAGGGTATCTTATATGGATCAGTTGGGTTTGCATGTGGCATTATAGGCCAAGGAATTGCAAATATGATTATGACCGCTAAACGGTATATTCTAAATTCACTACATATATCAATTACATTTTAATTTCCACTTTGCCATCTCTTTCATGCTTTGTGACTGATATGGTTTTGCAAACACTAGTACTTCCATTGTATTTTCTTGAAGTTGCTCAAACCCTAGCATTTTTTTTTCTTTGGAATTCCTCAGGAGCATAAAGAAATCAGAAGAAGACATACCAGTGCCACCTCTTGTGAAGAGTGCAGTTCTTTGGGGTATGAATTAATAGATCCCTGAAGTAGGTTTGCTATGGGTTTTTGAACTACTTGACCAATATAATCTAAAGAACAATGGTATTTATGAGCTGATGTGCAATTATTTTGTCTCTATTAATCATTCAAAGCTGTAGCAAATTGTTCACTTCCTTTTCTCCTTATCCTCTGGGTATTTAGAAGACTTTAAGAATTCTAGTACTATCCCATGTTATTCAGTTTTAAATCGTGAATTTTTCTAGCTGACATCTGTTGGTATTCCATGTTATGCAGTTTTAACTGAATCTGTATTCTTCTTGCACTTGCAGGAGTTTTCCTTGCGGTTTCTTCCAATACCCGCTATCAGATCGTTAATGGGTTGGAACGTTTGGTAGAAACATCACCTTTGGCAAAGCAGGTCCCTCCCGTTGCAATGGCTTTCACCGTTGGTGTGCGATTTGCCAACAACATTTATGGCGGCATGCAGTTTGTGGATTGGGCTAGATGGAGTGGGGTGCAATAAGTGTACGCCTCGCATATTTTTATTTTACTGTTGGCTAGGAATAGCCTCTGTTTTACGGACGACACTCTGGATATTGAATATTTTTTCGAACTCGTTCTAAGTGCGTAGTTTCGCTTGGATCAATGCTAGAGTTAGTAAGATACCATTCTCTTTTAATGAGTGGTCTTGCCGTCTGTTGGAATGTAAGCGAATGGGCTAGAACTCTTGGGAAAATTAAGGATTGATGGCCAAGAACAGGGAAAATGATGGTGTATCTGTTGTTTTGGAACTCATGCGAGTTGTACGGGATTTAATACCCCATGTACTCAGATTAGTAAACTTATTTTTGCTGATTAAAAAAGAAAAAAGAAAAAAAACATCAATGTTGCATTTAAAACTCTATTGAATCAAAGGAATTCTTTCTACCATGGAGTTTGCTCGGTCCACCCCAATTACCATATTAGTTGTATTGTAACTTTGCTAGGTCCTCTTGGTAGCTCTTACTGCAGTAGTCTATATCCAGACTAACATCAGCTGGGTTATTGGTTTTGTCATTCCACTTGCTGCCTTTTTTTATCTCCATTGCCAATTTCATAATTGGCCACCACACTTGCATCATTGCAAAACCCCAAGGAGAAGTGTTTTTTGTGTCGATGGCTAAGGTGATTGTAGCAGCATTTAGAAAGCGAAATTTTAAGTATTTTGGGGCATTTCTTTTGTGATCCATCTGTTCCAGAAACAGGATTTAAAGAACCAAAAACTTTGTCACTCTGAAAGGTTAAGTTGTCTTGAGAAGGCTGGTATAATGGTTGATGAAAGAGAGCTGGACGACCAAGGTCTACTCAAGAATGGATGGAACCTAGCCAGGGTTCAACAGGTGGAACATTTAAAAATGTTGCTGGCCGTGGTGCCTCCTTGGATAACAGGATTTGGTTGCTTCATAGCCATGGACCAGTAAAGTACAATTGGGATAGTACAAGTTATTCAAGCAAATTAAAAGCTCGGATCCCATTTCCGAGTTCCCCCAGGCCGGATGGGACTCTCTTCCATGATTGCTCTTTCAATATGGATTTGTTCATATATGAGCAAATTTGGACACCTCTAGCTCGAAAAGTTACAGGAAAAACTAAAAGATTGACAATGTCACAGAGGATGAAGATTCGCATCTTGATATCAATTGTATGGTCGTTCATCAGTGGCTGCAACTGTTAAGAAAAATCGCAGAGAAGCAGCCTTAAAAAATGGATCCTTCGAGTCACCTTTAAGTGTTCAATCATTCTTGCCACAATTCGCCTTATCAGGTCTAATTGAAGCATTTGCAGCTGTTGCATTGATGGAACTTCCCACAACACAATTGCCTGAGAGCATGAGGACTGCTGCGGGAGCAATCTTCTTTCTCAGCTTATCTATGCTTAGCTACTTGAACTCTCTAC